GATCTGTGTTGTGCGTATCAGAAGAAGACTTTAACCGTCACTGTATTTCTTACCAGGAAACACTAGAAATATGCACCAAGAATATATGAGGAACAAGCATAGCATGTTGTAAATGTAACTATGTGCAAAGACAATAAAGCCACAGCCTTTTAGGACTTTCAGGGCTTTATAAAATAAAAGAAAAAAAGAAAGCAGGTATTGTGTACCTATCTCTGTGCAGATACAACTATGCAGCATTTACGATAGTAAATAAAGTGTGGTATCCGGATCCATTATGATACTTGCAATAATAAAATATAAAAAACGATAAATGCTAACAGAGCAAATGACAAAAGCAGCATCTCCGATGTCATCAAAAAAACAAATTGCAGCCACATAAGCTAAACCCAGTTTACTCTTACTCTTTAATTAATTTAGCTCCAGCATCGGTATACCACTTATGGGTCAGAGCAATTTTTCCAATTCTGCTAAGGGTTTATGCATATCATATTTTTTGCAGGACAAGCAAGGCTTTCTTTTGGTGATACAGTCTTGCAAAAATGTATTTTTTTTTTCAATTTTGTGCATTTTTTAATTGCAGTACAAAAGAATTAAACACTTCAAAGAAGCTATTCAAGCGCAGATCGTGTTTGAATAGCTTTTTCCTGGCTTCTCTAGCCATTGAATGACAGCTGAGGAGCCGGAAGTAATGCAATCAGCGTCTCGCTTCCGGCTTCATTCAGCGTGGGGGAGATCAGAGAAGGGATGATTGCTGGTCTCTCACCCCGCTTCCCACCAGACACTCATGTTGCTGGTCCTGGGCCCACAGGAGGGGCAGCGGAGACGGAGACCGGGACCAGTGTCACTTAGGGCTTCATTTAGCAGGGGAGGATAATCAGAGAACAGACATTTACTGATCTCTCTTTCAGCTACCCGCCGACACCCGCAATGCTGGTCCAGGGCCCGCAGGAGGGGCAGCAGGACCCGGGAAGCACGACGGGGGGGGGGGCAGGGGCAGAGTGCTCTGCTTACAACTGCACAATTTGGGTCTGAAGTCCTGTAGGACTGTGGTAAAATCCTCAACCAAGAGAGACCTAAGGGGCCACAAGGTGGTGAAGACACTCGCTTAGCAATTTAATTGCACTGAGGGGAAAGCTACAGTAGAACTAGCTTCCTACCAGACCAGTTCCAAAACTTCCTGTTTTTGCAGCCTCAGCCCATATTTTCTGGCTAATCTGCCCAGGTCCTGGCAGTTTATATGCCATAACATTTTGCCTGCTCTCTCTTCATATGCGGCTCTATGAACAAAACAAAAACCTCACCCAGTAATAAGGAAATTACTAAAAACCCAGTTATAATTTTTGTTTGCTGTAAACATTAGAAAGTTCCTATTCAGATATGGATTTGTTATCTGGAATATTAATCATATTTCGGCAAAGTGAGAACATGTTATCGCCTCCTCAGGTCCTGCATGGGCCAAGGTTGTTATGCTATAATTACTGCGAAAACATCATTTCCATGGCTTTAGCTTCCAAACTGCTTTACTAGGGTTAGTAGATGCATTAATCACAGCTAAATATGAATATGCTTTTTTTTTTCTCTGCTGATATTTTATCCTGGAAAGTTTAAAACCCTGTAATGGAAAGAAGCAGCTGTCTCTTCAATTCACAAAGACCTAACTCAGACAGAGCTCAACCATAATACCAGACCACATATGTGCATGGCTAATGTTCCAAAAAAAAATTCCAGACATTCAGATTTTTGCCACTAAAGTTGAGTTGAAAATATTAAAAACCGCTGTCTTTAGCCAACTTTCAATTTTTTATTTTACATAAGATACTTGAGGACAATGATTGGCTCATTTCCTGGACTGATAGCTCTATGTAAAATGTGGTAACCACAGTACTTAACTGGCAATTATAAATGACTGTTTTAATGGATTAGAGGTGTAAACTGGTTTCTATAAAATTACTGCACATAGCTTTACACTGCTTTATGTTTATAGGTAAACATTTTTTTGTAATCCCAAAAACAGGAATCTGACATTTGTGACATCCTTTAGGAAGCAGGAAAACATCTAATGAGAGACTATTCAGTACATTGCAATACAAATTAAGATTCATACATCAAAATTGCAAACATTTGCAAGCGTTGTGCTGAACAGGAGCACAGTTTTAGTCTGACAACTGTTTATTTACTCTGCAGAAAAGTGAAAAGACCAATAATGCTTAATTGCCCTTTGCAACCAATCAAAAATTACCTTCAACCAATGCAGTTCAATCCATTTAAAGAAAGTGGACTTTGGACTAGCTGATGTAAATTACTATTGTTTTGCCCCATTTTATCATTAAATATAGTCTGAAGCTGAGTGATATTCGAGACAATTATGGAAATGAATATCGAAATTGGGATTTCCTGGGATTTGTCCAGCCCTGATGTAGGTTTTTAAATTTCCAAACCATTCTACAAGGTTATATTAGGAATTAATAAATCAGATTATGGAACTATCAAGTCACAAAAAAAAAAAGTATGGGAGGCATTGCAAATAAACAAAACCAGTGTTTAAATTCAGTTTATATATAGATATACATTGGGATGGAGATCTTACCTTTCTCGCACAAAGTCTGCCAATTCTTTGACTGACAGCTGCCCATGTTTCATGTTGTGGTACAAGACAGCAAACCCAGCGTTCTTATCACCCTGAAAAATAATGGAGAATGAATCCATTAAACCCGACATGGAAATCACACTCATGTTAGAACAAGAATTGGCACCAGTCTACAAGACAAGCACTCAGTCAGTCATCACATAGCCTCGTAAAAAAAGATGCTGAAAGTGTCTTAAGGTAAGATGCTGAAAAGTGTAGCATCACAACTGTGACTCAGGATTTCCAGAGAAAGAGATGCGAGATACAGAAACAGAGATAAAGGCAGAAAGGCAGGGAAAGGTCACACAGAAAAAAAACAAACAGAAATCAGGAGCAGAACGGCAAACCGAGACACAAAGGAAAAAACAAAATGACTATTTGAATAATATGTACTGTACATCCATTATCACAATCTGCCTGGCTCCTTACAGGGGAAGTAGGAAAGAGAGGGAGAGCAAGCCGTGGTATGATCTTATAAGACAGTGTGAATCACAGATGTGCAAGCCTGCATAGGACACCTGCAAACGCAGACAATATGCAAGGATGTCAGATGACAGAGCTGGCCTCTGGCTGGTGACAAAGCCAGCCTGTGTGCAGCTAAATGGCACAGAAGGAGCCTGTGTGCTGGGCTGAGGCGGCAGTACTAGTTGCCAAGGGAAACCAGTCGCCCATAGTTACTAGATCATCTCTCTGAATGCCAACAAGGCCACAGCAGACGCCCACATTTCCCCAAAATAACCCGTTTAAACTCAACAGCCGTTTACACAGCATTTACAGAGGAAATAAAAACAATTTTTATCGATTCATTTTAGAAGCAGCATCGGACATTTTCACCAACCACTTCTTTTATTATGAACCATTAGAACTTGTCCAGTATATGCAGCTTGTGCATTTAAAATCATTCAATGAACGAACATGAGAGTCAAATTGACCTTACACGACCATAGACCTCAGCAGGAAATCAACTGAATTTCATCACAAACAATATTACTGTAGTTACAATTGTGACTTTATTAGATTTATTAGATACAGATCAGTAGAGATTGTAAAACAGGCATATTAAAACACGGCTCTGCCCATCTCTTTTTATTAACATCTAACCCAGCATAATAAACCGGAAAGTTAATAGGACACAAAGCTAAATACTGAAAGCTGCATTACAATAAAGAAGTTAAATAAAATCCACCCTGTCCAAACAGAATATCATGGATTATTCTGATCCATGTATTTCATGCAGGTTAGTAGAGTAGGCTAAAACTAGATGAAGCAGATAAAGCATTGCTGCTTATGTAAATATGTTCTTTGCCTAGGAGATCAGAGATATTGATAGACCTCACTTTTTATTCCTATTGTTTCACACATTTTATTTCCCTGCTAAAGTCCCATATACCCTTACTTTGCACAGCATTGTGCAGAAGGTGTTGGTGCTATTTAAAATCAACATGACTGCTAGTCAATGGTGTCAAAGAAGCAGCTAACGTCATTAAAAGGATACAACTACGGCCCAGTGTGGGGGCTGAAACATGTAAGCATTTGTTTGTTTGCTGCTGTTATGCCTTTTAACAAATAAAGTACTGGATGGACGGATCCCCTTGCGAGTGCCGTTTTTTTACCTATTGCTCAGTGAAGGCTCTGGCGGAAGCTTTACCAGGCACTGAGGTTTAAGCAGCGGGATTGGAGACAAGATAGTAGAGCTGCTCAATGTGTCTAAACTGCTAACGTCATTAAAAGGTTGGCTAATTTGTGCATGGGCATTAACACCTGCATTAACAATATACATTTATAAACAGCAAATTAGAACAAAAAGTCTCCCTAAAGGGGGAGAAATAACAGAAGGGATAGGAGAGTACTATCACATAGTCTGTGAATATGAGCACTAAAATACAAAAATGACCATGTCTTATCACACACAAATCTCACATAATCATTGCAAGAAAATGGTCCCTGGTAATCAAAAATCCTAAAAAGGTATACAGTATGTAATTGCAAAACCCCTAAAATCTCATATAGGCGTTTACATGTCATTTCAAAATCATTTTTAAATAGTCTTGAATATTTAGCTTGCATTAAAATAATACCTGGTGATCCTGCCATATAGGTCCTTGCTCAGATACCTCATGTTACAGGGTGACAACACTCTGTCCCCGTCTCAATTCTGCTCCTACATTGTTACCCGGTCACACAGCCTGCCACAGGAGACTAAAAGTGGTTGTCATCTTATGCAGGCACAGGCACTATCAGGAAACCTATCCTGAGAAATGCCATGTGGCCATCACTGGACTGCATGCAGAAAGTGGCTGCAATGAGGCTGCCGAAGAGTAGCAGCACTGAGATGAAACAAAGAATGAGGAAAAAAAAAAAAAGTACAAAATATTTTATTTAAAATATGTCAATTGTTTATTATTATTACTTTAAAATCGCTTCTATCCATATACTCCCTAATTAACATGTTAGAAAGCAAACACTGAGGCAACTACAATAGGACAATTTTTGTATTATCATAAGGGCTGGATATACACTATTTGTGTTCCATTCAGCACACGTTGATGCAAGCTAAATGCACTTGAGTTGATGTCCACTGACATCCATATTGTTAACCCATTGGCTTGCATTCATGTGCATTTGCTTTTTATGTGTGTATAGATGTGTTTGGGTTGTTTTTTGTTTTATTAGCAGCAGGAGTCTAAATACATAATTTTTCTTAAGGAACAACTTTGAGAAAATTAAAAACTTAACACTTGCAGTGGTACTGCAAGTGGTACTCATTTTTCTTTAGGGGCTCAAACACAGCTGTATTACTCACCTAATACTCACCAGTGGTTGGGGCTCAACTCTCTCCCCCTCCATTCCAGCTATCCAGTGTCCCCCAGCGTCCATGGACCTGCATAAGACGTGATGTCAGCAGTCCTTAGACCACTGAAGCCCAGGGAAGAATCAGCTGTGGGGGCCAGTCTAGCAACTTGGAGGGAGCCAGCAAAACTGTGTGACTCAAATAAACCTGCTTTACTTACCTGAGCCTCAGACAAAATGAGCACTTAACCCTTGCTTCCGATTAATCGAACTTAATAATCGGCTAACTAATCGATTTTGAAAATAATCGTTAGCTGCAGCTCTACAGTGCAGCGATAGCCCCACTGCAAGGATACGTTTATTTTTTCCCAGAATTCCTCTAACATGTGTGGGAGCGCATTTCGACGTATTGCGCAGATTTTAAACACAGCATGTTACATAGTAATCCAGAGCACACCAGCATAACTAAGCCTATTAAAAACAATGCACTTTAACTTGTTACTTCAATGGACCTGGTTAGCATCAAACATGATATCTATATAGGCTCTCAAACCCAGTGCACAGTTTCATATACAAAAGAAGCATGTCTTTTTTAATATCAATAGTTTTCATAAACAATTTATAACTGCTGAGAAAAAGCACTAATTTCATGCCGGCAAATAAAAACATGTTTACAAAAATCTATATAGACTATTGCAAATTTCACATATACTTAATAAAGTCTCCTGGCCAACATGTAGAATATAGGTATTCTGTATGTAGTTGTCAAAGTGATAATCTTTGCACAAACCTGTAAACAAACCATGGGCTACCATAGGACAAAATAAATGATCAATTGTAACTGGAAAACCTTAAAAAACAAAATCAAGAACATAGTCAAATGTATTTTAAAATTCCTATCCCTTCTAAGACAGAAAAGCTAAACAGTAACACTAAATCTAAATAATGCAAATTACAGAGCAAAATTAAACTAGGTAGAACAAGTGACTATTATGCCCTGTACAAGGGTTAAGTATGCAGCATTCGGACAGATGAAGTAAGGAGATTGGTGTAGGAGGGTTCTGGAATTAAGTTCTGTGCATTGATATCATTAAGTTCCGGAGACATCTGGATACACAGGAAGTAGGAAATCAAATTAGCAATGGTCTGGTGTTCTATGTAAAAGAATGGGAGCAATGATAAGTGAATAGTGTAAAAGAACTTACACTGAAAGGAAAGCGTAAGATTGGTGCCGCAGCAATACTGCCGAAAATGTACACTGATACACAGTGTTAGGTTAACCATTTAACATCACATGCATGTGTCTAAAACAGAACACAACAGTGCAGGGTAATCATACAGCATCCTGAAAACCCCAAAAGAGTGAGTACATACCACATTGTAATCTGGCTAAAGAAACAAAAACAAAAGAATAGAATCCAGGCATCAGATCAAGGAGGATTGTTTTCATCCAGAAAAGGGCTACATTCACATCCAAGAAAAGCCATTATTGATCAACAGTGATAAATGAATTACAACAGACCTCATGTAAAAAAGTTGACTTTGAAAGTAAACCTGTCATAAGGGAAATGCATATGATTGCATTGCTGTCCTCCTCCAAAAAAAAAACTCATTGTCTGGCTGTTATGCTGACCTTCTGATTTGAATACTTTTGGAGCCACAGACTGGGTCAGTGTCCCACAGTATTGAAGCAAGAAGGTCAGTATAACAACCACGCAGGTAGCGTTTTCAGTAGGAAAGGTCAAGAATTGCAGAATCTTCTCTTATAGCTACTTTTCTTTAAAGCAGAACTCCAGCCAAACATTTTATTAACCCTTGTAGTGGGGCTACCCCCACGCTGCAAGGGTTGATTGCCTGTTTCTGTCTAGGTTTCAAAAAAAAAAAAAAAAGTTATGCTCATCCGATCCTCACAACCGGATGCTGCATGGATGGTTATATCCCTCGAGGTCCTCACGTCCCATACACAGTGTATAGAATATGATGACTCGGGTACCTTAGGCCGCTGCAGTGGAGGGGAAGCGGGGGCGGCAGGCACCGGTGTATCAGCCAGCCAGCTCGAAGGATCTGGTGAGTGTAACTTTTTTTTTCTTTTTAAGCTAGACAAAAACAAGCCGTTAACCCTCGCAGTCTGCGCCACTGCACAAGTTAATGAAATGTGCCTGGAGTTCTGCTTAAAAGCATAATTCCATTAAAAAAAAAAAAACATTAAAATGAAAAAAAAAAATTAATCTAAAAAAAAATAAAAAATAAAAAGCATTAAAAA